AATTAAAACTATTTTACTAGAAAATGGGTATCTAGAAAACGTCATCAATCAAATTACTTCAAGGAAACTTGCGAGCTTCTCAACTGCCCCAAAATTTGGTCTTAACAAGTGTCCTGTTTACCTAAAACTACCATGGATTAGTAACATTTCAACAAAATCTGAAAAACAATTGAAAACAGCCATTACTAAATATTTTCCGGCAGTGAACCCCCTACTGTGCTTATTCCACACACGTCAGCTGTTGCCTGCAACACACAAAGATGCGATACCTACCACACAGAAAAGTATGGTTATTTATGAATTATCGTGCCACTGCGAATGTCGGTATGTAGGTCGCACTTCACAAAGACTGCAGGATAGAATTAAACAACATGTACCCACATCCATAAGAAATAAGCGTGAAAGAAAATAATTTACCACGTCGCTCCTGTAAAACAAAAGTTCTACCATCAAAATGTAAATCAGCATTTACTAGTGAACCCGACTTGTGCTGACAACAGCGATTGGCCAGCATTTACTAGTGAACCCTGACAACTACAAGGATAGCAGATTTTAAAATTATTGCAAATAGTCTGTCAACCTTTCATCTATATTTTGGAAGCCACCTTTATTAAAACACATAAACCTGTCCTTTGCCGCCAAAAAGAATTCCTATACATTCTACACATCCTTCAGTAGGTCTGTGACATTTCCTGATTGGCTTAAGGACTTGCCAATCAGTGATTGCTTTACCGGCCTACGTTGATCTGGCTCATTTTATAAGCTGTACTATTTCCTATAGATCATTTTCCAGACGGTTCTACTATGATTAGTGTCTGGCGAAAAGCTTCAGTAGTATTTCCTTTGCAGCATCTCAACCAACAATTGGTCCAGTTATCAACGCTATTTTCAAGTTTTGAACAACTCGACTTTCAAGATCTACATGTGCCGATGTTTCCGTTTATCAACGTTATATTTTAAGATCTGTGCAAGAACTCAGCTAACAGATGTTTCCGCATAAAAAAGCTATCTTCAAGTTTTGTACACACAAAAAAAAAAAAACTTTTCAATTATATAATAATGTTCTGTTGTGCTATTTATAGTCACCAAGGAGTGCAAGTGTATAAATGTAGCTTGTCTGTCGGCTAACGTACTTTTTCACAGGGGGGCTTGGCATGGTCAGGTGTTTAGGGCACTCGAGTCGCAACCTGAATTTGGGACTGCAAGCGAGTATAGTCCTTGAGTAGCTTTGCGCGAAAGTCAACAAACAAACAACTTACACAGTTTTGTAAAAGACCGGTTTGTAAAACCAGTTCTTTATACCTTTAACAAATGATTATGTTAAAATATGGAATAAAATGTTACTGTTATTATTCTTCAAAACATACTGAAATATTTGTGCGATATGACAAATGAATAGATATGTAAGTGTACATGATATCAAGAGCGTTCGTTTTCAAAGACATTTTTCTTTGCTCAATTTATGATAACTAGGCATAAACAACACTTTTGTTAACGTACTCCACGTAGAACGTGAATAATTAGAAAATCTCTATTTTTTTTAATACTTCAACGATTCCTTTCTATGTAAACGGTATTTACTGCCTCACGAAGGGCGTATTCCTGAAACGTTACAAAAATTAAATTGAATGGTATTTATTCAGACATGTTAATTTATCCATTATTACCTTTTATCTGAATTGATAACACTCCACTTCGCATAAAAAATATTAAATACAGCTTCAAAATTCAGTAGTTGAACATTTTTATTTACTTCAACTTCAGTGTAATTGTCGAAAGTTAGTTTAAACGATAAATTTTTATAAGATAATGAATCGTTTGTTTTTGTTAGAATTAAAACATGCTATGTGTAAAGATATGATTCAACTTCATTCAAGTTGCAAGAAGTTTTGAGCTTCCAGTATGCATAAAAAATAGTCTTGCGACTACACTTTTTATGCGTTTTTATGAATCTTTTTATGCTCCAATATTTTTGTTTTTACATGCTATAGCCAAATCTTACTTTTTTCTACACTGAACCAATTATGTTTTTTTCTAATCTCTCTGATACTATATGCCGTGGATCTAATGAGCTTGAATGTGTTACTAGCAGTTTAATATTGTATATTCTCAATACCAATTCTGCTATAGTGTACGAACACGTGAAAACATTCACACTCCTTCCTGCTTGCTTTCCAAAATCCATCTAACTTCAATACTCCAAGAACACAGAAATTCACAAGCACTGTTTCCGATAACTTGATCGGTTTGTCTTCATTTGAAAAGCATGAATACCCGTTTCATTCTCTAATTGCATGAAGTATAACACAATTATACGTATACGTTATGGAAGCATCTTGCGTACACGTCGATACCCATGGTGGGCAGAGCAGAGATAGTCCATTGTGTAGCTTTGTGCTTAATTTAAAAAACAATCAAACATATTTTGATATAAGATGTTTTGGATACAAACGAACAAACATTTAAATATAATAATTTCCGTCAATAATATGAATTCTAACACTTTTATGTGTGTTTTGTTTTATTTGTTGTTGATCCCAACTAAAGAAATAAGAAGTTTATTCAGATATTAATAACATGTCACCGGTGGGTAAAACTAAAAATATTCGGCACCTTACAATTTAACCTGTAATTTAATAAATTGTGCAGAGTAAACCAGTAATATATTGTAAGCGATACATCGTATTATCCATACGCCAGTTTATTATATCAATTTGTTTATATATTATAATACTAGCTTGAGTACTCGTCCCCATGGACGGAAGTTATGTAAATTCATAATTAATGAAAGGTTATCTTATGACATGTAAAGTTGCTTCCCTTATATGTAATTGTAAAAAACGCCTATAAAAACTGCAAAACACAAAAATGTGAAACCGCAAGTTTGCAGGTATCTCTGCATGGACCCAACAAACTTTCATGCTAAATTTGATGAAGACTCATCAACAGGGGGAGAAGTAGTGGTAAAAAACGCCCATAAAAACCGCAAAACACAAAACTGAAAATCTGTATGTACCCACGTATGAACCTATTGAACCTCCATACCAATTTTGGTGAACATCCATCTACATCCTGCGAAATAGTTACATGGAGATACAACCGACAACAGACAGTACTATTATATTTATATAGATGATTATGGCATTATGACTGATACTGGAACTAGTGCACACAGTACTAGATACTTTGAAACAAAGAGAAACAGGTTTTGCAGCTTATATTTATGTGCTTCTTCTACTTTCCCTTGTTATCGTCCAAAAAAAATCATATTTTTAACTAAATTTGTTTACTCACTGGTCCATCACGTATCTTTCATTAGCGGTAACCAATGCAAATGAGGAAAGAAATTCTTGGTCGCTAGACAACGTTAGAACTGTAAAAGGTGCCTCTCGATGGACAAATTAGGAACGTTGGCTTTGATTTAAACCACTGAGGGAGCTTAACAACTGTAAACAGTGAACAAAGTTTCCTTTAAACTGTACCCGTTATGCTATGATTTTCTTATGCACAGTCTTCTTTATATTTGTCTGTGAAATTCTTCGGCTAGTAAAGTTTTCCAGAGTTTGTGGACAGATTTTGACTAGCAACGTTTTCTTAGTTCCCAGTATGCATTAATTTTCGAACAATCTTTTATGTTTATAAACGTCATTTATACACCACTACACTAATAGTCTTCTTCTGATAAGTTTTGTCATTCCAGTTACAATTTCTCTTTCTTCAGTGTCCTATATTCCATTAAGTATTTGTGCTTTCCACCTATTATTTCTTTGTCCACGATAGATTAGTGAGTTTGGTAAAAGTTACTAATTCAGAGTGTAAACATATGATTTAATGATGTTTTAATTTACAAACACAATCCAATTTCAACAAAAGTTAAACTGTAGCTATTTACTCGTATATCTATTTATAGTAAGGGTCGGTTAAAACTGTGCGATTATCGACAGTTACCTGTTTATTGACTAGAGACATCTTTGGAGAACGATAAGGTGAATAAATGTTAATGTTGAATAAACTTGCTCATTAAAGAAACTTTTTTTTATCATTTATAAATCAAGATTGGAGAACTACATGATTCAGACAACAAATGTATACAATGCTCCCAAGTAACTCTGTGACAAGTCGATACGCGTAGTAGGCCCAGCACAAGTACTCACTTTCTAGCTTCGTCTTAACAAAACCAATCAACTAAAAGCGTTTACGTGAAATCCCTCAAATATAAACTTACACTTTTAGAAGACAAACGAAACAGCTTATTCATAGTATCTAGTTCATATTGCAATAACTATATATATAATCAAAGCCTTACATAAACATTAAATAGACTGCTAGCGTTGAGAACTTATAGTGAGGATATACTGAAGAAGAGAAAGAGATTATACTTACAAGAAAATATTATTTCCATAAAGATAACTAAAAATGTACTTAAATGATTTATATGCCTGAACAATTTGGCTTAATAATAATTTGAAATATTTTCATTGAGAAAAATTCTTCTTTTCATAAAGTTAGAAGCACTTCTGAACGCAGCCCTCCGTAACCACACCTGTAAACAATGACTTGAAGTTAGACTCAGTCTCGAGTTAAATTTTACTTATTATGTAAAAAATATGGAAGACATGAAAAAAACTTACCAACATAATGCTACTTATAGCAATTACTGTCAGTACAAATGTTTCAAAGTAGTTGGAATTCACGATCAGTTGAACACGACGTTTCACGTTTTTCAGTTTATCTCGTGCAGAAGAAAAATAATGCCTAAAAAATAAAGACACAACAATGGATAGATAAACTTTATATTTCTGTGAATCAATAAAATTACTTATCCATCTTTTTTACAGAATCTGAAAATGATCTCTTGAATGAAAATTTTTGATAACGCTTGTTTTCTTTGGTTCATAGTTTGAGGTTTATCTTGCAATTTAAGTTAGTATGTCTGATATTGGAAAGTAAAAGAAAAGAAAAACTTAAAAGTTAGAACACAGACTTCACTTTTTTAACGTAAGATTTAGCAGTAGGTATATAATCAAAATCTAAAAACACGACCTAAATACACATCTGATGAGAGTTGATACCTATTTTAAACTCTTCCTGTCCCTACTGTAATTTATTAACTTAACATGTTGAACAAGTAGAGTACATTGTGAGGTTTAACTATGTACAAAGATATTTTTACGAAATTTCCAAGGGAAGAAAATTTTAAATACCTGATGGAAGACTCCGAGTTGCAAGAATGTTTAGTTGACTTATTAACAGTTCCGTGAGAGTCTTTAAAACTCCTACCCTGAAAAAGAAGAAGACATATATATGTATTGTTGATTTAATTAACGCAAAACTACACAAAGGTTTGTATGCGCTCTGTCCCCAGCAGGAAATCGAACTCCAGATATTAATATTGTAAGCCAATAAACTTACCGCAGGCCCAGTTAGGGAACATATATATATATTTATTTGTAAACATCATTTATATTACACGTAATATAAAGAAAAGCCTAGTACTTAATATTATAGACTGAACCAATTAAAAAGCAAAGTGTATAGAAATGATTTCTCTGTCATATGTCCATATGTTCTATTTGTTTGTTTTAGAGCAACGATACATTGGGCTATCTGTTGTGTCCACCGTGTAAGTCGAACCCCGCAATGTTAAAGATAAAATTTTGTTTTAATTATTTTAATACTAAGCCTAAAAACAATTCAATTTGTCAAGCCAAATATATAGATTCAGTAAAAGTATACTAACTAAACAATAAAAAAATTACTTAACTTCCAAATGACCATAAGTAGTAGTAGTCTAAAAAGTAATTTTCCATATTAAAATGTCTCTGGCGGCATACACTTATGCTTTATATTCAGTCTTTGAAGGGAAATGATTATTTATATCTTGATATGTGTCCCGAAACAGAGTAATTGTATTTGAAATACACTGACATTGAGTGACATTGAAATTAAAACAACCAAAATACATCGTTCAACACATTATTAAGGTTTTTCACTGTTTCGATTAGTAGCTTATCAGATCTATCTTAGCTCTGACGATCACGATCAAAAGGATGAGAAACAAAACAAAAGACAAACAGCTCAATTTAGTTTACTTAAGAATTTACCAATATATTAGCAGAGACCCGAAAAACATTTGCGGTCCAATTGATAACCTGTGTTGCAACATTACTTCTTTAGATACAGAATTTCTAGAATAATGCAAAACAATTCTAATCGCAGACACCGAAATCTATAAGCCAACTTGTTTTAGGCCTAACATTGTTTTATGATTGTATTAAATACGGCTTATGTTCGATAAAAAAGATTCATTAACACTGTAAAGTTATGTACGTTTGTTTATTTAGGGGTAAATCTTACCGTACTTAATACTACCAATAAACGAACTTATGTTATTTTACGATCTATGTTAGACCTTTTTGAAAACTTGATGTTTTTAATGTTGTTGTAAAAAAATGTCTACTAAAGTATATTTACATCTGCTTTTTGTTTCCATCCAATGAAATGAAGTTCGTGTGCATGTTGATTTATTATGTCGTCAAGAAACTAATGTCGCTTTTTATTAGATGAAAAAACCCGAATTTATTAAATGAAATAGTCTCCATTCTTATCGATGATGCTTTTCCATCTCACAATCAGGTTGTTAATGCCCTAATAAAAGAAATCACCTGGCTTTGAAGCAAAAAACATGTCGTTGTCCTCCATATTTGCATACATTTTCCCATTAAGATGGTGTTGAAGCGAACGAAAAAGATGGTAATCTGATAGTGCCATATCTGGAGAATATGATGGGTGGGGGAGAACTTCACAACCCAACTCCATAGTCTTGTGTTGCGTCAAACATGCCACATGTGGACCTTTCCGATTGACGAGTGGAGGGTGTTTCTGATGAAGGGCTTGATTTAAACGTTCCAGTTGCTGACTATAGATCTCAGCATTGACAGTTCGCTGTGGAATGAAGAGTT